TAAGTTAGAGAGAGAGAGAGAGAGAGAGAGGGATTCACATTTCAGATGGTAAATTTACTGAGTTAATTCACCAGTATGATGAATGCATGAGAGAGACAGAGAGAGCCATCTGTATGCACTTGACGATTTGACATGTCAAAATGTATTTTTGGGTTATTAACACAGCCAATTTTTGGGTGAAATTTATTCGGAACGTCCATCTCGGCCATGGCATCATCATCAGACCGCTTTTTAATTTTTTGCTTTTTAGTTTTTCTTTGGTAGAGCAATATCTTAGTGTGAGGGGTAGTGCCCAATCTATATCATCAGACCGCTTTTTAATTTTTTGTTTTTTAGTCTTTCGTTGGTAGAGCAATATCTTAGTGTGAGGGGTAGTGCCCAGTCTATACAGCCGTTCGAGGTTGGCATGACCGCCTTATTTCTTAGCAAACAAATGAGCTAATGTGATCCGAAGATGCCAACCTTAAATGGCCCTCGATAGCACTAGAAGAGGTGGTCCAAGAATAGACCGCCTCATAATGCTTAACAAAGTCATGTTTTTACCGTTCAAGGATGCCAACCTCAAACTGCTTTGAAGAGCACCACAAAAGACGATATGAAGATGCTAATTTCAAACTGACTGAGAACTGCATCAAACATTAGGGCATAGCTCTACTGTTGAAAAAAATAAAATAAAAAATTAAAATATAGTCCGATGATGATATATCTTCGAACCGAGAGGCAAGTTTGAAAAAGATAAAAAATCTCAGATTGACCAACCTTGTGCATAATTTTAACTTAAAATTGATTCATTTTGTATTTTAGTAATTTAAAAAAAAATTTATAAAAAATACCAAGGACCACAATTTCTACGCAACTTACCACAACTTAAATTTTTTTTTCGCTTTCTTTCTTCAAAATACGTTTTCTATGCAAATACCTCCCAACCAAATAAAAAATAAAAAAATGCCTGAACTATTGTTCCTTATTTTATTTTATTTTTACTTTACCTATACCTCTCTCTTCTATCCCACCAAAATAAGGGCTCCCGTACTGTATAAAGTGGCAGCTGCTAAGAGTCGTCCGTCAATAGATTTTATTGGATTCCAAGGTTCCAGCACTATGTAAAGGACTGTCTAACAATACTAAGTTTCGGTTAGGTAATTGTCTTAAGGTGCGCTTTGACAATATGATGGTGCGCTTCGGCAATGTGCTGCTGGGTCTAAATGTAAACGTTCCAAAATGATTGTTGTATGACAATTTCGTCTAAAAAATGAATTTTTTTCTTTGGGAGTCTTTGCATAGTTTGTTTTGAAAAAAAAAAAGTAATTTTGTATGGTCTAAAGTTTTTTTTTAAAAATTTTTATAACTTTTATCTCTTTAATGTACGAGGAAGAGAGAATAGGGGAGAGAGAGATGCATTAGAGAAAGAATACACGAGAAAGAACAGAGAAGACAAGAGAGAGAGAGGAAGCCTAATATGCATGTAATTGACATGGCGAACTTTTTTTAGGTTCATTCATAATCTGATGAATGCATGAAAGAGTAGAGAGAGAGAGAAAAAAAATACATGAGAGAGAAAAAGAGTAGAGAGAATACTTTAGAGAGAGAAAGAGATGCATGCTTTGATGCCATAAATCTATTTTCTGGGGGTCATTTATGATAGCAAAGGTGCATGTCCTAGAACCCATTCCAAATTAAGCTTTACGCCACACAATAATGGACTGCAAAATGCTCCAAAAAAAACAAGAAAAAATTCAAATGACTTTGAAAAAAATTAATTAAATAATAATTGAGGTGGCAGAAGGTTGCAAGAAATAGATTTTTTCAAACAGTCAAACTTCTAAGAGGTCTGAGGACCCTTTTTCTCTGATGAAAGGAGGTGGGGCTATTTTTTTTTTATTTTTATTTTTTGCCCATAATGGAAAAGGTTCGGTTATTGCAGCTACCTGGGGAACCGGGGGCATTATGATCAATTTCGGGTTGCAAAGTTTTCCGTTAAGGGAGGAATGGTTGTTGAGGTTTCATTCTTGACACTCTCTCTTTCTCTCAATCTCTATGTTGGGATCCGATCCGTTGTTCATGCTCTCTCTCTCTCTATCGAATACATATGATACAATCGTAAACGTTCAATTCGGATCCGATCTGCCACTGGCCGTTCTGATTGGATGATCCGGTTGGATATTTTTTAAATAAATAAAATATTTATATAAAAATCTCAAAAAAATAAGATATTGTTTGTAATGTGTTTTAAAATGTTTTTTTATCATTTTCACAAATATTAGAAAGCGTTTTGGCCATGGATATTTATTTTTACATTTTTCTATATATTTTTTAAAATTTCAAAAATACTTTTGAGAACGAACGGATTTTTTTTTCACTTATTTTCGTTTGGATGTTATTTGTTTAATTATGCTTTAAACATACCTTTCGCTTCATTTTTTTTCACTTATTTTCGTTTGGATGTTTTTTGTTTAATAATGCTTTAAACATACTTTTCATTTTATTTTTTAGAATCTTTATTGTTTTTAATACTTTTTTGACCACCCGAACACTTGTCCGATTAATCCGGTTACTCAGACCCAAGCCTTGGTCGATTTCCAAGACGATTTTTCGAACGCTAAATCCTCTAACTGTTGAGAGTAGAATCTGTCTCTCAATCCCACCCAACCCAATGTTACTTGGACTCGTCCGAATAACTCTCCTTCGCCAAAGAATATCTTTGCCGAATTGATTTTCTGAACAAAATCATCTCTCTCTCTTATGTAGGGAATAAATTTGAACAAGAGAGCATCTTTCCTTGAAATCCACAAGAGACATTTTATGATTGTGTCCATAGTAGATTGACAATAGACCTCCAAAGAAACCCACGAAAGAAAACGAAAGATCCATCTTACTTAAACCCCCCACACAACCACACGCCATTATTATTTGAACTCAAAACAACACAACTCTCTCTCTCTCTCTCTCTCTCTCTCTCTCTCATACACAGCTACGCACAAAAACTACTCTCTCTCTCTACACAATAACCCCACCTTCCAAAACCTATCTCTCTCTCTGTAGCAATGACCCCAACACCCCCTCTCTCTCTCTATAGCAATGACCCTAACCCCTTTATCTCTCCTCTCTCTTTCTTTCCCCTCTCCCTCTTACTTCAGGGAAAAGACAAGTGCATGGGAGGTACTGCCCTTTGTTTTGTAGGGTTGTTTAGAAGGGCAAGTGTATTTGACAAGTGCCCTGTGGAACTGTCACCCCCACCTTCACCTCCCATCATTTTGTCCCATGCATTACTCAACCCAATGCAACCCATCTTTCTCTCTCTCAGTACCATTTCTCCATTTCTACTCACAAATAGAAAAGTAGCATAATTATTAAACCACGTACCAATTTATTCTAATTAATATCCATTAGCTCAGTGAGGCTTCGTATAAAGGCTGTGATTTGGGAAGCAGTCGCATTGGGCCCTACTTTTCTCGTTTTTGCTCTTTCTTTTTTTTTTTTTCAAAACAATAGAAAAAAAAAGAGAGATCGATATAAAATGCCCTTCCAACCCCTAAAAAAGTTTTGAAGATGATGATAATAGGTATAAGGTTCCCTCCTTATACTGTGAAAATAACCCCTCTAAAATTTGCTTGTAGGGATGTAGTTTTGCGGTTTGATGGATTGAAGATATTTTATTCCCATTTATAGAATTTAAAATTAAAATAATGTTACATATCAAACATATCTATACAAACTTCAAAATTTTGAAAAAAAAAGTGATTCAAATAACTTATTACAAGATGCGTTAAAAAGAGTCAAAATATTACAAATTACACCAAAATTTATTTTCTTAAATTCCTACTTACCTCAAAAAAAAAAAATATCCCACGTTGCCCCTAATCAGATTTGCGATGACAAAATAATTGAGAGTTCTATTAAGGCCTTTATGGAGCTAAAATTATCAAATTGCCTTTACTTGTTCGGGCTTCCCAACACTCAAAAAGCAATATTAAAAACTTTTTTTTTTGAGAACATACCTAATTGATATAGGAAATTAAATACTTACCTAACTGTTGGCTTCTCAACGCTTAAAAGGCAATTGAAAAAACTTTCAACTTTTTTTTGATTAAAAACGTATCCTGAAGTATAATTTGCCATCTTTATATTGTACATGGTTTCAAACAATTCTTTAATATTTTCCCTAAAAAATACTTTCTATAACTAACTAAATCATCGTATAAAATCACATTAGAAATTTTTACAAGAGTACAACATCATTTTCAAAGTATCCTAGATTTTTTTATTAGTACACTTGCCTTTATCGTAAGTGAATACTTAAACATACTTAAATTATGTACTTGTAAAAATAATAAAAGGACTTTGTCTTTTAGGAAATTTTTAAACATAATAAACAAAGTTTTATTAAAAATCCATCACATATTTTTGTAAACCACACATATTTTGTAAAAGGTGCGGTATGTATAAAGTTAAGGCTCTAGATAATCAAAGTAAAGCGCGCATTTAAATAGTATCGAGAAATAGGGTTTCAATACTAGAAATCTTTGTGATAGCCTTCAAATATATTTTATCTTTAATTATAAAATTTAAAGCTTAAAAAATAGTTTAGATCAAGCATATCTATGAAAACTTGAAAATCATGAACATTGACAATCCAAATATGCACTACGAAACGTTGTTTGTTTTGAAAATAGTGCAAGGTGGGCTCTAATTTGATTGTTTAGAGCCACGGCTCTATATTAATTTTTTCCTTTTGTAAATGGTGCAATTTGTATAGAGCCTAAGCTCTATACAATAAAATTGGAGCTAACTTCAAATAGTTTAAAATATTGCGGTTTCAATATTAAAAATTATTGTGATTGTCTTAAAATATATTTTCATCTTTATTTATAAAGTTTAAAGCTTCAAAAAATAGTGTAGATCGATAGATCTATGAAAACTTGAAAATTGATGGTCTAAAAATGCATTACAAAATACACTTTTTTCAAAAATTGAAATCCATTTTTTTCTCGTGTCAGTGCGTGTTGATGTCGAGATGATCAATTTGAGAATATTTGGACATCAAAACAACCTCTTCTAGTGAAATTTTTGCGGTAGGTTCTAATTTGATTGTTTAGAGCCTCGGCTCTATATAAACTTATCGGCTTTATATAAACTTATCCCATTTGTAAATGGGATTGACTACAAAGATATCATTTATATTTTATACATAGAGGTTATGATCATTCCCACTCATTAGATATCAAACTTTGCATGGCTTGGGATGAATCATGAAGTCTAAGAATTTTTTTTTTTTAAAATTTGTGTCAATTCAATGATACTGTTACAATCACCCTTTTTGAAATTTAAAGAATTAAAATGATTGACCACCATGTACAAAAAATAAAAAAAAGTATATAATGAGACATTTGACCTTTAGTACAAGATAGTAATAATTGATCATAACCACTTGATGCAACATTTGGCAGTTGAAATTATTTTATTAATCATGCTCAAAAGTTCAAAATAAAATTTTTCGAACTTTATGGCACATCCAAGCTATCAACATCGGATGCTAATTGTAACCTCCACATATGAAAGACAAATGGTCTCATTGTATACAATCCCAAAGATAAGTGGTCTCTTTGTGAATTGCAAATTCACATCTCACAACTCATTTTACACTTATTTTGAAGAGTTCTCAAGTTAGATTATTCCAACATATGGAATATAATTTAGGGAAAAAGACGCATGACTCCATCTATAAAATTAGTATCCCAAAAACCCCCTAGTCCCCTAAGAAGCCCCAAGTTAAACAAAAATTATCGTTTAACCCTTCAATGTCCAAATTATAAAATTTATCCTTCTTTTTCTAATAACCTCATCATAAAAATTGAGTTTGTGATTCATCTTTTTACTTGTGAAGTTCACAAGTTAAGAGAAAAGAAGATTGCTAATGAGAGGGAGGAAGAGGTCCACGAGTGGGGAAGAAAGAGAAGGAGAGGGAGAGCATTTCCAGGATTTAGATAATAGGGTGATTAATAAAAAAAGAGAAGGATAATTTCCGTAATTTGGATAATGTAAAAGATAAGAAAGAGGTTGAACGTTATTTTTTGTTTAACTTAAGTGATTCCATGAGATATTTATAAGACTAGGGTGTTGCTTGGGCTTCTAATGTGACACAGGCATCTCTGTCTTTTCCCCTAAAATTTTTTAGGGGGCTCAGAGGTTATAAGTTTGAATTATGAGAAATAGATTTTCCAGAAGATTTCAAGTTTGGAAATTGTGAGAATTCCAGCCAAATTTATAATGGAAGGAATAAAGCAAAAATTTGACTAGAATCTCATCAAAACAAGCCTGCAGTTGACATCATGCTGGAACATGATTCACACAACGCACGTGCACACACAGATGCATGCCACTTTTGATGTATATTCTCAATCTAAGATGGTAGAGTAACCTACCACTGGGAGAGGCGACCCTAGGCCATCAGCATTCCTGATCGCCGATCACGCTTCACAGGTAAGCATTAGATGCATGCTAGTTATACATCATATGTATGAATATGTATGCATGCATGTAAGAAATCAATACACAGTACAAAGACCACACAAATCTGATACCAATTATTGATTTAGAAGGGTTTAGAATTCAAACTTCACATACTGTTCTTTCCCAAGTGACACGCCCAATTTTTCTGGCAGGTAATAATGTAATTCACTCATAAAACATACAAATTTCATTACAACAAACAAAAGAACCTTCTTTACGAGAGGGTTACCTTGCTCTAAAAAAATCGAAGATGGCTGGTGCTACTTACTCCTTTTGGTAGAACGAGAGAACGAGATCGGTATGTACAGAGAAGAGCTGGGTGTCTACAAAAAGCTGTCCCAGCACATAGCAAAATTGTTAGGATCGGAATCATTCGTAATAGGATGAATTAAGTTTCTAAATAAGAATAATAAAGTTTAGAACAATATTGACATGAAATGATATAATTTATCATATAAAAATCATCATCATCAGATACTTTTTCCAACTATTTGGGATCGGCTATACAAATCTTGCTCCGTCAATTTGCTCTATCAAGGGACATACCTTCAGTGAGGCTGTAGCATAAGTAGATGACATAGATTCATGATTCATAGAAAGTTTTGACAAAGTTTTACGTTAGCTGCCTACCTAACACTATCCACCTCCTTTACCTGGACCCAAGACAGGTTAAGGAAAAGTTTAAAGTCCTCACCCTACTTAGCCTAATTTATCATAAACATAAGAATTGGAAACTAAAAGTGAGAAGCGAGCCATGAAGCCAATAGCCATGTTAGCCTATTGTGCTAGGTAATGTTACTTATGATTCGAAGAAAATCCCCAGTTGACACTCTAATAACTCATTTGAGAAGTTTGTAAGGACTAAATTGACAGGACGATGGCTGTTTCCCCATGAAATTGGTTGAAGCAATTTGCAATAAGAGATCTTATGAAGAGTACATGTTTTAAGTTCTGGCCTAACTCGATCTTATGAAGAGTACATGTTTTAAGTTCCGGCCTAACTCCATTAACTTTAAGCCCAACCAGTTGAGTTTTGGATGAGCTCCAGGGTGTCTTTCCCCAGGTTAGTGTTATGACATGAATAATTAAAAGCACACATGCGCTGATAAGTAGTATTAATTGTAAGCTAACCCCCATATATACCCTCTAGGGTTCCCACAGCATAGGCAAGACCGACAATGTTTATAATGACTCATATTCCCCAACTATCTCAAGCATAAACAGGACATGAGATGCAAAATGAAAATCACTGAATAATGCAACAAACCTACCAATTGGGAAAAGAATAACAATGCAATATACCTTCATAAACGGCCTATCACGAGCAGGGAAAGATTCTATGAAACTTTCTTTCAAGAGCAAAGAGACCTAACAGAGGAGAAGTAAAAAGGTCAACTTCAGCTGTGAATAAGATGGAAAACCAAAAACTAGTTATCTGCAATGGCAAGATATGACGAGAATTCAACATTTAGACATTCCGTATTTTAGGGTCAAAGGTAAATTCCATTATATTTTACGGAAGGGTAAGTGCATTAAACAGCCCAACTTACATCAACATATTCCATTAGTCTCAAGGCAGTAATGTGAACTCATGAACAATGGATCATGTTTAACTAATTAGTCTAACAATAAAAAATGTAGCTCAGTTGATTATGAACAAATCTATCATGACCTATGAAATAGTTCATCCCAAAAGCTATCCTAGAACTACACAGTGCATGCAGTTACCCAGATTTTCAATCGGAGCAGTAAAATTGCAACATGGAGTATGCAAACTAAAATCCACATTTACTAGCATATATGCAAGTTAACAAGTCCAGGAACGATGATACATGTAACTGATGAATACAAAACTGAACAAACTGAAATTTTCCAGCAACACAAAGGCTAAAATTAATCATTGCCACCATATTATAACATGGAAATAGCCAAATCAAACAAAATAAAGAGCATAAACTATTTTTATACTCTCTCTCTCTCAGCGTTCAAAAAAGAACCCGCCCTCCCTCCCTCCCACCTTCGTTTTGCAACCAAAGACTCGCTAGCATTGTTCATTTCATCATTTAGGACATATGAAGGAAAATGCAGCCAAACTCACAATCAAAATGAGTGCAAACTAATTTGTCACACTACACAAACACGCACACAATGTTACCAAAATAAAATTCCAACATGGAAGATCAAGGTTGAACATCATTGTCATGGACAGAGTCTCCATACCAAAAGACATTACCTTAGTATGAGAAAGAAGACAAACCTTATCATTGTTTGACTGAACATTGGTAATAGTATGAGCACGTAAGTTTGAGCATAAGGAATCCAGATAGTTTCTTAGGACTTCCAAGAAGCACTTAGCAGCTTCAGCCTATATGAACAGAAAAAAGCACTTTCAAATCACACTTGGCCCTATGAAATAATTACATCTACAATATTCAAATAAAGATGGAGGGACAATAATATACAAAATGAAAATTTTCATGAATCTCACATTTCTACCAAATTTTATTTGACCTCACGCAGAAAGAAAGGACAATCAGTAGAGAGAAAAAAAAATGAGACATGGAAACTTAAAAGGCATGCCATTTGGGAACAACTTTAATAGAACTTTCAGGCAATAAATTGATCATTTTACATGGTTCATCTACATTGATAACCCACCTGTGCATCTGTACATTCATGAACAAGCCGTTTCTTTGCAAGATAGCTTTCTCCCACAAGTTTCGCATGATGGGGCCTTAACGATGAAAGTAACTCTTTATGCTGGGGCAACTGTGGTATTGATGGTGATTTCACCTACTTGCTCCATAACATTGGGAAAAGAGATCAGTTGAATTTGAAATCTTTGTACTTAAAAAAATAAGATCATTAGAAACAGTGGAATCCAGATTATTCAGAAATGCAATTGAAAACGTCACAGAGGCAATTCAACACTAGCCCACAAATTTTGAACAATGCACTCAAAGAGATAGATATATAAAAGGCCAGAGCAAAACATTAATGCCAAAATATGCAAAGTTCAGCTATAAACTCGCATTCCATCCTTAACCACCATTCCTTTGCTTGTCTGCATTGTGCACTAACAAAACACTTATACCTGTAACCACTCAATAAAACCAAACTCACAAGAAACACTGAGATATTCAAGACTGTGAACAGGGCACATTGTGCGTACAGCTTTTTACCACATTAGACCCAAGAAATAAAATAATATGCATTTTAAACATGCAAGCCGAATTTAAATGATTGCAACTTGTAAAACACAGAAACATAACCACATAAAAAATACAAATAAAAATAAAATTTAAAAAAATTTAAAAGAAAGAACAAAAGGGTGCGGTCTGTATAGAGCCGCGGCTCTAAACAATCAAAGTAAAGCACACCTTCAAATAGTGTTGAGAACTGTGGTTTTAATAATGGAAATCTTTGTGATAGCCTTAAAATATATTTTTATCTTTAATTATACTTGAAAATTGACGGTCAAAAAATGTGTTACAAGATGCACTATTTCCAAAACTTGAAATCCATTCTTTTCTTATGTCCATGCATCTTGATATCAAGATGATCAATTTGCAGATATTTGGGCATCAAAACAACCTCTTCTAGTGAAATTTTTGAGGTGGGCTCTAATTTGATTGTTTAGAGCCTCGGCTCTATATAAACTTCTTTCAAAACAAAAAGACAAAAGTTGATACAATAGGTAGCATGGATCCTAAAGTGCAGTCGGTAATTGAACTAGGCACATATCTCAAGCTCTTCACATTGGCATATGATTTCCATGTTAGTTTTAATCTACAAAAAACGTATACCAATTTTAACAATAATCATCATCATCATCATCCGAGCCTTATCTTAGCTACACTCATTATATGGATATGTTGTTTCTTGACAGCTCAATATTCCGTCCCATAAAGCATGGTTGGTCTTATACAGAACTTCCCCTTTACTTTCATTGGTATGTGACGATCACATAAAACTACAGAGGCACATCTCCACTTCGTCCATCCAGCTCCAATTCTAGGAGAACATCTTCCTCAATCTCTCCTTTCTCATGGATTGTCGACCCAATTTTGACTATCAATTTTAACAATGATAAAAAAAGAAAAAAGAAAAGGCATATTAATTATGTGACACTCAGTAGCAGTCTAAAGCAAAAAACTAAGCTGGACATCAAGCATTTTTACACTTCAACAATTAAATATTTTATAAGCTATGTCAACGAAACATCTTGCAAGCTATGTTGCCCAAGACAATTCAAAATGCTTGTGTCTTATGAATAACAGCCACTAATAATACATTGACAGCCTGCACTAGAAATAACAAGAATAGAGAAAGACAGGCCCTGCCTTGTTCCAGGTATGGTCCTTGGAGCGTTAAAATTATGCATCCACAAACACATATGCTACACATATCTGAAGGGTATAGATGGGCACTTTCTTGCACCAAAGCCCCTGATGGGTATAGATGGCAGATGGGCCATCTGCCATCCTCATGGAACAATATAGGCAATCCAGAAAAAAAGGTGCAACGAGGTTTTTTCTGAAGAAGATTGTGAATATTTCAAGCTAAGTGAGGTGATAAATGTGCAACGAAGCCATAAAAAGGCCATATCACTCAATTCAATAAATCAATATAGTTCAACAAACCAAATAGCCCCAAAATATCACAAAGGAATGGAGGCAAGAGAACAGCAAGCTACAGTAAACCACAATATCAAGTATCTGGCTATAATAGGGATGGCATAGAGGTTTTGGGGTTGCATCCTATGCTCAAACAAAAAAACTTGTAATTAAAAAACAACAAAAATTAAGCATACCTGGTTTTTATTCACATCAACCAATATGACATTCGCCAACTTGGACTGGACTTCTGCTGTTTTGTTCTTCACACCCACCTGCACATCAAAGTGAAACCATATACTACCACAAAATATATTTGTTTCTTTTGATAACGACAACTCCATGCAAGGTATGGCAATGTGCAGACGATTACTAAAGCAGTACAGAAAAACTAAAATGAGGAAGTACATGGCAATACCATGGTTTCTACTTCCATCTACTTCAGATAAAATATTTGAGTAGGAAATTTTTAGCTACTTAAGCTCCAATTTTTGCAGAAGGAGACGTGACGCTCTTCACATTGAAAACATGCCCACCATTAAATATATTCAAAAAGCATAATCCATATATAGGTGCCTTTCCTCTTTCCTATAAATACATCCAATTTGAGAGAGAGAGAGAGAGAGAGATTTATATGAATCTACATTGCCTCTTTCTCTACCCCGAAAACCTAGAGAATATGCATGGGATGTCATAGTGCTTCTGGCCACCGGATCATTCTTTGGAGTAATGCAAGTGAGCTTTACATGTTTACTCTGGTTGAATCAAAACTTCAGAAAGGGGGTTCAAAAGAATGTATTTGGAAGAAAATGCAAAATATAAGGTTTCTGAGTCTTTTTTACATGGATTTCTCATATGATTATTTGATTCACTGATTTTAGGTTTGTAAAGGGGGGTTTTAACCTTTAGGATAAAATATAAGAGGTTTTGGTGTAGGGTTCTGAGAAAATAAGGTTGTATTTTCATTGCTTGTTTATTTCACAATGTAATGGGATTGTAAAGGGGTTTCCTTAAGGGTATTTTGCCTTTAAGTTTTCCCTTTTTTCCAATTTATTGTATTCTTATTTCTCAAGTATTTGTGAAATTTGACCAGTCCGATGGGTGAACCCGTTTGGTTCGACCAATCCGGCGGAACCATTGCATCCACTGGTTCGATGGACAATCCATTTCTGACAACATTGGGAGAAACCACCATTGGAGACTAGAATGGCAGAGGTGAAATCCCTTAGCTGGAACATAACTACTAGATTGCATAAAAACAAAACGAAAAAAAAATTTGCTAGTTTTCATTGTTTCCATATTGAAAAAATTATGAATTTACCGTTCCACCAGGGTTAGCAAATTACAAGTTACAGTGGACACTACAAAAAACGAATGTGATAAGCCTGAAAACATGAACATTCACTACATACACTACTCAAGAAAAATAAGTTCTATTTCAAACATTAAAATATCACACCCAAAAAAGTGATAAGCATATTCAACATTGATATGAATAACGAATGAAAAGATTATCCCTTCAAAAGTGTACTTTTGACATCACTAAAGAGAACTACAAGCAACTTTACTATCCAATCCTATTAAAATAAATCATGTCTAGCCTTCCATATGTCACAGGAGATTATTAATACAAGCTCATAATACTGTCAACAAAGACATCTACTTTCTGAAATATACAATATATATGCATAATAGAAGTTATACGTCCAAAGAAAAGCTCCATCACAAATATGTTGGGATTAGTGTCACAAGAGACTACTAGGGGAAGCCAGCAATACAGTCAATAAATCACACACACGAAGTTATGCCTCCAAAGAAAAGCTCTAGCATGAATATGCTGGAATCAGTTTTACATATTTCAAGCAAAAGCAAGATTAAATGACAAATGAGAAAGATCATATTCAAATACTCACTATATAGGGAACAGGTGCATCCAGAAAGTCCAACATATCATTTGGCAAAACCTGAGTTCAAACAAAAGGTATGGAAAGTCAAGCTCCATTGACATTATATTGATGCTAATTAGCTACTAATAGTACATGATAGCCCTAAAATGCACAATCTATACAGGAACCAAAATTAAGAAAAACTAACATACAGGCATCAATAAGCTTTGCCACTGGTAGGGACGAATTAAAGGTACAATTGATAGAACAACAGCTGAAAGGATGCCCTGTAGAAAACACAAACAACAATAGTAAGTGCAAAAATTGCAAATAACTATGGTTAGGCGCATCAACCATAAAACGTATAAGATGAACGAAATCTTTTTTGAAGAAAAGATGAAAACAAAATCTTGCTCTGGCTCCAAGATATCTAACCACTCATAAAACAACAAAAATTCATTTCTATAAAAAACCCATCTGTCATTGATATGCCATCCAAAATTTGAAATAAAACAGGCTATAACCTCTACCCAGCAAGGCTACCCACCAAATATAGTCTACCATAACACCTTTATCATTTTGTCATCAATGGGTTCCTGAATAAGGACAACGTCAGCACAATTTTTCCTCATAAAATCAATAATTTTCATCAAAAGCCCTTGAGATTCCAATGAAGGCATCATGGTTCCAACCAGTATGATATATGCACATGCAAGCTCCATTAAGATTGGAACCATGACCATTATCCTTTCTACTTCCTGACAGAGGATGCCAGATTCGCAAACTCCTTCAATCGTCTGCCTCTAACTTCCCCAACCCCTTCTGTTTACCTTCCCCACACTTTGAATGGATTATTAAGTATGATACCATTAGCATTCCCTTCCTTTCCTGAGTGTCCTGAACAGAAAAAGCCTGTGTGAACTTATACTTGAAAGACAGGCCCATGAGATCCACAAGTGCAACTCAATAGGACTTCCCCTAATGGCAAGGTAGGGAACAAAGCATCCATAATAAGAACCTTTACTATATTAATCCACAATTGTTTGGAACATTCTCAAGTTAACTTACTCCTCCAATTCCATAAAATACAACTAGTTACATAAATAATGACAGATAGCAGAAATCATGCGAACCAAAAATGTGAGATACAATTCTAAAAGATGAAAAATCAATGAACTCCAATGAACTCTGTTTGTAAGCTCAAAAATCCTGTGTGGAGTATATGTCGTCATAAACTTTAAATGACCAAAATCCAGACATATGCAGTTAAACTAGCTGCAGAATAAATTTCAATTGACCACATTCTAAAGTATAGAAAGACGAATTCTGCATAATAATAATAATCATAGGAAAGTATACAATGAGACCATTTATCTTTGGTACAAGGTCGTCAGAATTAATCTCGACCATTGGATATGAAATTAGATGGTTCTATTTATTCGATTGACCAGCTCAAACTTAAAAAGAAATTTTTCGAACTTTGTGACCCACCCAAGCAATCAGATTTCACATCATATGGTTGTAAGCAATGGTTTAAAAAACCGGATCGGTGACCCGGATCGGGCTTTT